CTAAATGCAGTCAAGTCAAATATCGCTCTTAGATCCAATTGATAAAAGCTATTTGTATCAATTTGATGGATAGATGTGGAATGCACAGCAATGGACTTGTCGATCATTCAAAGTACCTGCTTACATCCATGCAAAGGATGATGATCGGTACTTTGCTACCAATCATTTTCAACATGGCTTGCCCTTAAGGTACATCAACATCTACCGTGATGCAGCCTATATGATAATATCATATAGCAGGTTAGACAGTGGAAGTAGTCTGGTAATTGGTCTGTTAAAAATGGAACAAGATATCGAATTTGAAAATCAGATTCGGCCATTACATGATATTGAAGACGTTGAGAATATTTTGGTATCAGGCGATCAGTCAATGATCGCTATTGACTGTTTTAGGAAGGTTAGTGCAATATTGGGTTACTCATATTCATGAATCGTCATAAAGTAGATCAGCATAATATTTTATTGTGCAGTAATATTAGTCCTATATTGTAATACTGTGATATATTTAGAAACTCATACTCAAAATGAGTGGTGATCAAGTCCAATCTCGTGTTGAACTTGATCAATCTGGTCGATCAATGTTTATTCCTGGTAGTAATCGATTGCTTATTTATGATGACCGGGATGTATATGAATATAATTTACAAGGTAAGACATGATGGTTGTACAACAACTCTAATTCATCATGCATTCATTCATGGTCACAATCGTTTTTATTAAACTAAGGCGATAAAATTGCTTGGCAAGATATCTCTCAAACAAAATCAGTTGATGTTGGTAGACCCCAACGTAACCCCCAAACTACCGTCAACATATTCGACGTAGGTTAAGCTTTCATCAGCACTAGTAGCTCTATCGACTTTGTTCAATCCTCTGCTCAATTGAATTGAATTGAATAATATTGATTGGTTGCAGCTGATCGAGTTTGTAGGTATAGAAGATTGTAGAAAGTACAGGGAATTAATCAATGGAATACTTGCAGAAGAATCGATTGCTGAAGATCGGATACGCTCCAGATATAGAAAGAAGGATAACACACTCATTCTCTTTCCTGTATGTTGAAAATACCAGTTTGAAGTTTGTATGAAAATGACGGTAGTATTATGTAGAAGAAGATGATGAAAATGAGAATGCTTATTAGCTAACCTAAGAAGTTGTTGAACTGATTTTACAATTACGTTGGAGGTCAATTGGTCGAATTAATTAATTGATTTATTTCAGATATTTTCCTCAGAAGCAAGGTGGATAATAACTGTTAACCTTACGACTGGAAAGAAGAGCGTTGATCGACTGACATTGAGTGATGATGCTGGTGTTGTGTATGTTGATGATGATTATCTTTATGTTTGGAGACGTAGCTTGAAAGTAAGCTAGAATAATTTATTTCCATTTAATCTCTATTCTAAAGTGGAACCGTCTATAAATTGACTGTTCAGTTTCATGTCGAAAATAGCCTTGAATGTCGACTTTGACGTCTATTGCAAATGGAGACGACCATTAACGACATTTCCAACTTGAATTTATTGTAGTGTTACAAGTTTGGGGATGGTGAATATCAATTACTGCAAAATATACCATACCAATGGGAGGAAGGATTAATGTGTAAAATAATGATGAATTATAACCCTCATAAGATTGAACATTCGTTTCTTCCTCTTCGGATGAAGAAAGAAAAATTAGTTGATGTATGGGGAGAGAAAGATGCCGAAATGATTGCTAATGCAATGGTAAGTCATAATGATCGCAGTGTCAATATGGAAATGAGTTGGAAGGAGGATGACAACGACTGTAATGAGTTGATTATGTAAGGAGTTCGACTCTAGTCCATAATTGATCCTTATGTTCCATTAAATTCAATATAGGACGATGTTGACGATCTTTTGCTACTACTGGAAAATGGAGACCATATAGCAGTAAGACAACGATAACTGCATACAATCAATGTGACGTCATCATTGTTGAACGTAGGTTGTGCTAATCATAAAATTATATGCCTATAGATACTCGACCAAGATGGAGAATTACGCGTGAAAAGATACAAAGACAATATCAAATACTTCCGTCATATCACACAATTCTTCAACCATGAAAATCTATGGTCGGACAAGCAGTTAATCCTATATGAAAATATATCTAGTTTGAATATTTATAACCCCCAAACACTACAGCTACAAATTACTCTACCATTCCCTCACTTCCGGATAAGGGACATGCAATGGAATCTTCAACACTCTCAACTCATCATCAGGAGTGATCAGGATTACTGCTTAGCAAATCCAATGAAAAAGGAATAATATTTGCGTGAAATGTAAAGCTAATCTTGTATCTTGTACCCAGCGCAATTTAACGAGAGTGACAATAAACTAAGTTAATATTGCTTCCATAATCAATGAAGATGATTGATGTGTATGCTGTACAGATGGATAAAGTATACCCCAATGTCAGTAAAACCAATACCCAAAAATAAATAAACCAAAATATGATTAAAAGCAGTCTATGTCTAGTCTATGGTCAATGCTATTGCTGAGTTAGTTTAATGTCTATTACAAATCGTAGTCAAAGAGCGACTTGAAAGAGAAAAGGAAAACATCCCTAACAAAACATTGGTAAAATAGGAGAACATAAAGATCAACATTGGGATGGAGAAAATGGATTGCAAAATTGCAGCCTATCTATCATTAAGCATCCCATCTAGTCTAAAGTAGATATTGATGACAGTCTTGTAATACTGTAGATGGCGATCTCTTCAGCTATTAATAAACTAAATTAACATCACCTCTATCAATGAAGATGATGGATGTGTGCTTTGTACAGATGGATAAAGTATACCCCTAATGTCAGTAAAACCAATGCCCAAAAATAAATAATGCAAAACACCATTGCATATTCGTCCATGGGGAGAATGCAATAGTTGAGTTGGTTCGATTGTAATTATAAATGGCAGTGAAAGAGAGATTTGAAGAGAAAACGAAAACATTTGTAAAAAGATTCAGGATTAAGATTGAGGTAAAATAGGATGAGAAAATAAAAATAGGGATAAAGAAAAATTTGCGAAATTGCAGTCGATCATAAAGCAAACCCCAAAAAGTCAGTTTAACCAATACCCAAAAAATAAATCAAAACAAAATTAATAGTATTGCAATCAATGCAATTGTGCAGCTAGTTCA